ACCATAGAAATTGATCATCAATATGATCTTAAGTTGTATCTACTGGCTGCATGCCGAATTAGCCTAAAAAGGAAGCCAATTTTGTTTTGTAAAGGCGGGCCGAAGCGATTTTTCATTTTCGCTTAAATCTAGCTTTAAAAAATGTTAATAGGGAAGCAACGCGATTCCGCCCCACACATCGAAAAGAGAATTTTATTGCATATCCGGTCATCCAAAAAACATTTTGGTGCTTGCCCGTTTTCCGGTCCGAAAATTACAAAGAAAGAAAAATATTGCGCGAACTTTAGTTCCAACCTAATATATCAAACAAAAAGCAATAAGATACCTTTCCTATGCAAGAAAAAACTTACGGAAAGACCAAACCGACCGTAAAGCGTAATGCAAACAGTAAAGGAAGCAAAAAAAAGCCTACGACACTCGGGATTCCCAAGCCGTCTCCGATCCAAGTACTAACCGAGCCCAACGTTGCTTAACTTGGCAGATCGGACGGGATGCCGTGCTTTCAACGTGGTATGGTCGTAGGCGAAAGAGGGCAGGAATGGAGAGTTGATGAGAGATAGCTACGCTTCGCCGTTGGAGTTTCATAGCAGATGGATTAATTGTCTCTCATCAGTAGCTCTAACCCGCCTCCTTTCGCCTACGACCATACCACGTTGAAAGCACGGCATCCCGTCCGATCTGCCAAGTTAAGCAACGTTGGGCTCGGTTAATACTTGGATCGGAGACGGCTTGGGAATCCCGAGTGTCGTAGGCTTTTTGCTGTTTTTGGAGATCAGTTTTAAATGATCTTATTACGGATTTTAGGTTTCCAATTTTTTCCGGAAAACGGAAAACTTTTTGCCACTTCTTGCGTTCTACTCTGTGAACCCGAAGGGCAGGCGTGAATGAAAACCACACAGTCGGGCGGGTTAGATGTCGCGGTTCGCTTTATGAAAGAAATTTATCCGGATAAAAACCGCCTAAAGGCCTGAGAAGAAACGCAGAAAGCGATAAAGAGAAAGAGTGGCAGAGAGATACCATAAAATACCCCAAAAAAGACCACCGCCCCCTGGCAATCACTCATTTCCGACCCCCACAATACCAAAGCCATCATAAAATATGGGCCCCAAACAATCTCCCCATTGACTACTGGATTGGGTTGACCGCCCGAATGCTATTGTATGCCCCTTTCCAAAAAGGCGGTCCCCCATCTACCCTATAAGGCAATTAGGGTTGAGATTTTTCTTGGCGACCCTATGCACCCTGGCCGCCTGTAATTAGACATCAAAAGGAAAAGTGCCCGGTGGGTAATGGGGTGTGTACAGGTGGCGCCGAGGGAGGTGTCCTTAGGAGCATCGCGGAATCGCGCGCGTGTCCTTCTGATCGACTCGGCTGATATTATTGACCTTGTATGTCGTGTTCTCGCCTTTTTAGGGTAATTAAAGGGATTGGAAGCGGGCGCTCGCGCTTGGTAGTTTTAACCTTAAAATAAAAAATGAGCTATCTTTCAAATAAACCATGTTGAAGGAGAGTTAGACCCGGAAAAAAGAAAATCTTGCATTTTTGACCTGGTAACCGGTTCTCTGGGAATTTATCGAACTTGCAAATGGAGCCCTGAGAATATGAGAAAAATCGAACCGCGCGTTATTTTTTTCTCTCCTCTCCTCTCTCTCTCTCTCTCTCTCTCTCTCTCTCTCTCTCTCTCTCTCTCTTTCTCTCTCTCCCTCTCTCTCTCGCTCTCTCTCTATCTCTCTCTCCCTCTCGCTCGCTCTCTTTCTCTCGCGCTCTCTTTCAATCGAATTTAACCGTATTTTTATAAGCAGACCTAAATATTCCCTAAAAATTAGCGGAAAATCGTTCTTCCCCCCCCCATGCTCGTACCACCCACTTCCGGTTGTCGAATTCGAAAATGACTGTGTCCCCATCCCGTCGGTGGGCTCGTTTCTGGGGCGAATTATGTCTCGGCACCATTTCGCGGCGAGACCCCCGTCTCGACATGGACACCCAAGGACAATGGTGTCCAATGAGACTTGGACCACCCCGAAAAAGGTGGTACGACGAGCCACCGTTTCCACCAAGAACCACCCCGGCAACGATTAGCATATAGGTCTTGATCGGTGGGACATGACCCGAATTTAAAGGGCGCGGCATGACACGGGCGAGTTACAAGAAATTGCTGAAATTCCGGGCTTAAAGGAGCTCCGAAGCCAAGGTTGACATGCTTGGGGTCGGATCTACCGCCTCCAAAATCCAAATTGAATACTACCAAAAAAATAGTAAGTAAAAAGAATGCGTTTCAATGCGTTCGAAAATTCGAGAAAAATGATTCTTGGGTAAAGTATCCGGGAATTGAATGTCGTAATGTCTTCTAGGGCCCCAATCCATCGACCTTGCTCAGCTTATGGTCGATTTTGTTAGCTAAAACATGTAAAAAATTAAAATTCAAGTGATTGCAAATACCCCGTTAGAATTTCTGATACCCTAGTCATAAATTACGCATCCCTTAAATCTGAAAAAATCTGAAACGTGCTGAAAAATACATAATCAGAAAAATATAGCTGTTCCAAGGCCCTGAAGAGCTGCTGCCATCAGTCCAAGTACCTCGGCTAATTACGCTCTGCACATTCGAGACATGGAAAGTACTTTTTTGTGGTGTCAAGACGACGGTCGTGGTTGTGATGCACAAAGGAGAGCCGAGACGAACTAACGAGTACCTCGACCCGCACGACCGCCACCATCATTCACTTTTCAGATGCCCCCTCAAGGTGGGCCAGGTGTCCCGAAAAGGCCTCCCGACTAAAGGAAATTCTCGGCGGGATCCGGGCCGAATCTTAAAGGGGCCGGCCGGGAAGCGAGAAATTTTAAGTAGTTTCAGCGTTACAAATATGCAAAATTTCAAAACCAAAGCGCGACACTTCCTTTTAAACAGCTATTTTGCATATCCGGATTTTGCTTGTCGCGATTTTGTCCTGTCGGCATTGGACTGTCGGCATTTTGGCTGTCGGCATTTTGGCAATTCCCAAAAATAACGGATGGATACAATATTCCTTTCTATTTGACCCGAACCCGAATCCAAATTCAAATTAGAGCGCCAAAAACAACCAACCTCCAGGTCATCGGCAAATAATTGGACAAGGAACAATCGGGACATACCAGAACAATCCCCTTTTTTGGGGGAGCCCCTTGAAGCTGGCAAATGGCCTCAATTGACATGGGTTGACCCCAGGAGAGAGAGAGAGAGGGAGAGAGAGAGAGAGAGAGAGAGAGAGAACGAGAGAGAGGCCCATCTCTCAACGACAAATATGGCCCACATGCACACAGGTGGCCATCATCGCCATTTCGGGTCAAGCCACGACCACCGGAATTGGCAAACGCGCTCACCCCGGGAATTGCTAATTTGCATAGAGCAAATGGACGTGAATGGCTGCTTCTTTTGTGGGTGTCTAGCTGGGTTGAAAAAAATAGACAAGAAATTTAGGTCAGTTCCACAAGCTGAATGACAAAAAAACATGCAAAAAGCCTACGACACTCGGGATTCCCAAGCCGTCTCCGATCCAAGTACTAACCGAGCCCAACGTTGCTTAACTTGGCAGATCGGACGGGATGCCGTGCTTTCAACGTGGTATGGTCGTAGGCGAGGGGAGAAGCGTGTTGAGGGGCTATGAAAGCTGGAGCGCGAACTAAAAGCGTGTCCAGGGCCGCTAATCCCTCTTTTTTCGCCTACGACCATACCACATTGAAAGCACGGCATCCCGTCCGATCTGCCAAGTTAAGCAACGTTGGGCTCGGTTAGTACTTGGATCGGAGACGGCTTGGGAATCCCGAGTGTCGTAGGCTTTTTGCTCTTTTTGGAGGTAAGTTTTAGAATAATCTCCATACCGATTTTAGATTTACGGACAACCTGTCCATATTCGATACTCGTAACGTTTTCTGGCTTGATCCCAATTGACGTCCATAATGAGTGCGTATCAATTTTAATTTGCATAATCCACCTTTGCACCAAATTACGGAAAGATAAAGAAAGGGAGAGGGAGAGACAGAGCGAGAGAGAGAGAGAAAGAGAGAGGGAGAGATAGGCAGACAGCGAGGTATCCCTAGCTAATGATAGCAAGATGGATGAGATATTTGCTATTATTATATGGCCACTCCAGTAGTATGTTTACCCATCGGATCAACGTGATGGGCCCCAAACACGGCCCTCCAGCCACCCCAAGAATGGTCATCGATACCCCCGTGGGGGTTGCATGGATATTGATGAGGGGTGATGACAATTGAGTACTCATCGACTGTCACGCTATTCCGTAACTGGACTAACAGTTTTCCTGATAGGCCAATCGGGAGAAAATGATGGGAATGCAAGAGTCTGCACAGAATATTTGCTAGCCTGCCCTTCCCCAAATTCTCTAAAAAATTTCTGCTAGCTTGCCTCTCACCTTGGAATCCTCAAAGAATTTCTGCTAGCTTGACTCTCTCCTTCCAATTCCTCAAAGAATCACTGCTAGCTTGCCGTACACGATCAAGTTCCTAAAGAATCTCTGCTAGCCGACCCCTTCCTCTCCAATTCTTCCAAGAATTTCTGCTAGTTTGCCCCTCACCTTGAAGTTCCTCAAACAATCTCTGCTAGCCTACCCCTCCCCTCCCCGCCTTAATTTTCCTAAATAATCTCTGCTAGCCCGCCCCTCCTTTTCTTTTCAAATTACTCAAAGAATCTCTGCTAGTCTGCCCCTCCATTCCCTTCTGCCCGCCCTGCTAACTATGCATTATTTTCTGACCGATATTTATGGGATCGCGCGATCCCTGCTGTGCTGTGTTTCTTATCAAACCCGCTAGAATACAGGGCATAGAATAGATAGTGGAACAACCAGAAAGGGGCACAGCTATTTTTTTGCTGTTTGCCACCGACAACCCACCGTTTGCAGAGTGTTTTATGATTTTTTTGCAAACACTGTTTATCTGTCTTATTCTGTATTTTAGTAATTTTAAACCTTAACTATCCTGAAGCTGGCAGAAAACAATTTCAGATGAGCGGCGATACCTTCTGGGATCGCGCAAAAGCTCGGCTTGTCCCGTGGTTAGAAGAGAACCGCGGCCTTGTGATTCTCATCTTTGTTTTGCCGGCCAGCTTGGTAAAAAATTCTACTTTTTTTAAGACTAAACTGAAGCATAAGTCTAGCCCCGAGCCTAAGCCTAAGCTTAAGCCAAGCCAACGAGCAACATAACTTTCAGGTTTTCGACCTCTTCGTCCGCTTCCGCGTCTGGCTGAACCGAGCGTTTTTGCAGAAGCATCCCACACACGAATCGCGGGTACAGGAGATTCAGGATCGGGTATGTCTTGTGCTAAACCACGGATTACAAAACACACAGCCGATTCCATGTAGAAAAAGCTAGCCATAAAAGTTTTATTATTTTTTAGGTAACAGCCTGGCGCACACAGCCCACCAAAGATCGAAAATTGCTATGCACGGCTCGCCCGAATTGGCAGAGCTTGTCTACCACTTTTTTCGATAAGGTAGCTATTAAATGGCATTAAAAACACGGTACGAATTCTAGACAAAAATGCATCAAGTACCCGTGGATTTGCACGATATTCTGAGCATTGATGAGCAGAATTTGACGGTTACTGCCGAGCCTAATGTCACTGTTCGAGAGGCCTGCAAGTATTTGATACCGAAGGTAAATTTCGGAATATTTTTCTCGCCCCCTCTTTCTCTCTCTCTCTCTCTCTCTCTCTCTCTCTCTCTCTCTATCTCTGTCTTTAAGCTACTTTTTTAGGGCTACACCCTGGCGGTAACCCTCGAGATTGGTGACGCTACCCTGGGCGGCCTGGCTTTTGGTGTGGGAATGACAACACATTCGCATAAGGTATATTAAGAACTAAAGGGTACCTTAAATCCTGATACCCCAGGTCGGACTCTACCAGGAGACGATCGTCGAGTACGAGGTGGTCACCGGGGATGGGAAGGTCGTCAAAGTTACAGGTAGAGAAAGAGAGCGAGAGTGAGCAAGAGAGAGAGTGAACGAAACTTGATTTCCAGCCGACAACGAGCACTCCGATCTCTTTTATTGTCTGCCATGGTCCCACGGGACGCTTGGCCTTCTGACCTCGTTGAAGTTGAAGCTCGTCCGCGTCAAGCCATATGTCCATATGACTTATTTACCGGTAAGGTATTAAAAATAGCAGATTTTTAGGGGATCTGATATTAGTTAAAAAAACCAAAAACTAAAAAAGTTCCAGGCATAAACTAAGCATAAACAGTTAAAGGTTGCAAAATTTTGGCTTGAGCTACGAATTAGGAATTTTTTTAAATCTGGTTAGTTTAGATGCGCCAACAAGAAACCCTGTGCCGACAGCTGATGAAGCTTTCCGGCGGCATCGACAAGGACTTCCAAGTAGTTTACCCGGTTTCCGGAAGAAATTTGACTATTCCAGACCCCCGATTTCCTCGAGGCCACCGTCTACGACAAGGATAAGGCCGTCGTTATGGTCGGAACTTTCGCAGAGGTCGACACGCTCAAGAAGTGGTGGAAAATCAACGATGTCTGTAGATGGTGGAAGCCGTGGTTCTACAAATATGTCGAGACCAAGTTCCAGGCTGGTTAGTTTTTGGCACTGCTATCTAAAGCTGGAATAACTCAAAGTTAAGCTTCAGCTAAGCCTAAGCTAAGTGCTAAGCCTAAGCTAAGCCTAAGCATTTTCAGGCGGCTCGGAATACATTCCACTCGAGTCCTACTTACTCCGCCATAACCGCGCCATTTTCTGGGTGGTTGAGGACATGATTCCATTTGGAAATCATCCGCTTTTCAGGTATAAAATTAGTTGAAAATTTTTAGATCCAAATTTTGGCGAGTTGCCCCGGATTTAATCTATGGACTCTTGCCTTCACAATCTCTTTAAAATTCATAAAATATCTAGAAAGACCGGAATTTTTAAGAGCTCTCTTCGGCTGGCTTCTCCCTCCCAAGCCCGCCTTCCTCAAGTTCACCACAACGAAAGCGGTCCGCGAGATGACGTTTGCAAAGCAAGTACGTTCTATACTTTTCACGGTGTCGACTGTATCTAACTTAACTCTAATATAGGTATTCCAAGACATTGTAATGCCTCTCGATACCCTGGATGAGCAGATCGAGCGTGCCGTCGAGCTGTTCGAAAAGTATCCACTGCTCGTCTACCCATGTCGAGTGTATGATCACCAACGGGGTGCACAGGGACAGTTACGGTAGGTTATTGTAGGAGGGCGATGTCATTTAAAGGGACTTGCAAAGAAAGCTGAGTAAAAAAAGAAAAGAAATTTAAGAATCGGCTATTTCTAGAGCCCCTCCAAAGCACCGCCTCGTCCCCGGCACTAACTACGCCATGTTCAACGACTTGGGCGTGTACGGTACCCCAGGACAGGTAATAGGAAAATGGGATCCCACAATTAGTTTTAATTTCAGGTGAAAGACCACAAATTCTACAACCCGACGCATGCGATGCGGGAGATGGAGAAGTGGGTTTTACAGCTTTTTCCGGGTTCCTGCGCACGTAGCGGTCGCGTCGCGGTGACGCGGTCAATTGACAATGCTGTCAGAATTCGTTTAAAGAACCTTGATCTGCGTAGTAATCTGATAAATGTCTGCTTCAGATTCACTCGCGATGTCGGCGGCTACTCCTTCCTCTATGCCGACATCTTCATGACGGAGGCTGAATTCAGGGAAATGTTCGATTTGGAGCTGTATGAAAAGGTGATAGAGAGATAGAGAGAGGGCGAGAGAGTGCGAGAGGAAGAGAGAGAAGAGAGAGTGCGAGAGCGAGAGAGCGAGAGAGAGAAGATAGATAGAGAGGCAGGGAGAGAAAGGCCTAAACAAGTTCTTAAGGTACGAGAACGATACCACTGCAACGATGCTTTCCCGTCACTTTACGAGAAGGTGAGCTTTTAACTTTTCTATAGTCCTGTCGAGACCTAGTCGACGGCAGCGTAGCTTCTGAGGCTTCCCGGTCCCTTTAAAAAGCCTATTCCGGCCGATTTACGCTCAATCCCAATTCGACCCCTTTTCAGGTCCGCCCGGAAATAGATGTGATCGAGATTGGGAACGAGTTTGCGAAGAAGCAGAATTGAAGTGGCACCCTTGAAGGAATCGAATCCCGCTAGAATCGAATAATATAGCTATCACGTCGCAGCTTCTGAAGCACCTCTCTCGCGTCGCACGGATATACAGAGAATCCGCCCATCACGCCCAAGGGCCCTCGGGCGTAAATTGGACCGATACGTACGCGGCGCGCCACCGTAGCCGCGATGCTAAAGTCGCCACTCGAGGCGGAAAATGTCTTAAAAACACCTAAAAACTTTGCTTAAAAAGGCGTAGTTTTTTTAGCGGACAATAGACTCGTTTCATGCAGATTTGCTTAACGCCGAAGGACATAATTACCGATTACTACTGTAAAATAGGTCAAAATGCCTGAAAACTCTGCAAAATCTGCAAAATAAAAACTCGTTCGCCACTTTTTCAGAAGCTGTGCAAGCAAAATTAGTCCTCCAAAGTTACATACTTTCCAAATTACGGAAAAGAAGTGTAAGTATAAGCTAAGATTTCCATCAAAACTCGAGGCTCCGGGTACACGATGCACCTATCCACACCCACTTGACACAGATCCGACAGGAAAAAGGCCCTGATGGATCATACAGGTGGCAAACATTGCGACATTGGACGCTGGAATCTTGGCACCCACTCGAATCCCGGCTCGGTCCTGAGAACGCATAATAGCGGGCCCTTTAAGTCCCTTATTATACCTTGGGATTAAGGATGAGGCTTGTGTGCTCTATTTTGCGCAGGATACCGTAACATGGTAGGCGGAGCAAAATGGAATAAGGTTTTTGTTCCGAAAGAGTTTCTGCTAGCTGACCACCAGGTTTGTTCGAATTGTGGATGTGAAAATAGATATAGAAACTATTCTGCGCCCTAACTACCGTAATTCAAGAGGCGGAGCCTCTCGGAATGATATTCTATTCCTAAGGGATTTCTGCGAGATAGACGAATCGTAATTCTTGTTTTGTGCCGTTCTTCGACGATAATTATTCAAAAAAGGCGCTCTCTTGGTTACCGTATGCTCTCATTAAATTTTTTGAGGAGGCCGTGTATCTTATCTAAAGCTTAAGCCCAAACCTAAGCCCGCCAAGTCTAAGCAAACCCTACGCCCTGCGAATTTTCGATTCCCCCAAATTCCGAACAGCCACTGATGACGGTTACAAATGACAACCCAAGTACAGTCTACCATCACTAGAAACCCGAGCCTCCCAAGTAAGGTGTTATTGGTGCAGGTGAGCAAGGGGGGAGGGGCTGGGTCTCGCATATTGTGGCCCCCTTGAGGGCCCATCCTCTTCAGGAAGTGTTTATCTTGCTCACACCTTGGCCCTAACGAGCATAGACATGGCTGTTCACACAGCTACTTTGCCTGTTTACTGCTGTATTCGCATCTTGATGAATGTTCCGTGTTCTTAAAATTTGGCCTTATGATGTGCTGTTTTTCATGAAACTTTGGCTTGGCAAGCTAGCAAATATTCTTTGGAAATTTATGGGATCTGCCTATTTTGACAGTTTTTGAGAATTAGATTTTTTACAGAAAATTCTTTCTTTTGGTTGTTTTTGGGTCGTTTTTAGCAGAGGTTCATTAGCAATCGATGGCAGTTGCATCGAACTTTGAGGATTTTTAGTGACATTTTCATTTTCTATATTAAACAATTTTTATAGTATTTAATAAGTGTAATACAATTTTGTAATCTAGTGACCGTACCATATTTGCGTTTATGTTTTTTTGCGAATTTGCTTATTAACCCCACGCCCTTGGCCACAGTAGTCCCATCCCGATTGGGGCGTGGCAAGGGCCATCCCGGGTCCCAATCGGGGCCCCAAGCTCGTCCTGAGATTTGGCACAGACCCAAGCCGTTCTCAAGCTAACCCTGCTTTTGCTTTATACATATGCAAATTATGCAGGTTCGAATATCTGCTTTTTATCAAAAACATCTATAAAAAGTTACGTAACGTACCTGAATTAACTTTCCGTCAATTTTAATGATTTGGCCTTGGTGTAGATTTGCTGGCAAGCTAGCAAGAATCATTTGAGATGTCGCATTTTCAGTTCCAGAACAAAAAATGTCGACCGGCTCCGAGCAGATGGCGCCAAGTTTGGAGCAGATTTTGAAGATGAGGCAGGAGCGCATCCAGCGCACCCCGAAATGTGCCCGGTGCCGGAATCACGGGACCGTCAGCGCGCTTAAAGGTATCTATTGAAGCCGTACAGGGCCGCTTTCGGCTTTGGCTTAGGCAATCTTTAAGCTGACGCTTTGGCTTAAGTTGTACAAAGCTTACTGTTAACTTTGTCAGTGACTTATTCCCGGCCCCGCTAAGCTTCACCTTCATGTAAATTTTTAGGGCACAAACGCTTTTGCAAGTGGAAGGATTGCCTATGCGCAAAGTGCACGCTGATCGCGGAACGGCAGAGAGTTATGGCAGCACAGGTACGGTGAAACTTAACACCATTTTACACTTCTTAAAACTAAAAATACTTTTTTTACAGGTGGCGCTTCGACGTCAGCAGAGCCAGGAGGAGAAAGAGGCTAAGGACCTGGAGATGCTGCTTGGTGTTAGCAATTGTGAGTTTATGAAGATTTTTACTCTCTCTCTCTCTCTCTCTCTCTCTCTCTCTCTCGTATATAATAGGTATCATTTACAGTCACCATTCGCTTGAGGTCAAGCTGGCTTCCCATTAGCCTCCGCCTCTCTATTTTTTTGTGTCCTCTATATCTCCAGCTGGGCCTCCTCTCCTTTGTTTGGCCATTTGGGGGTTATGCACATTGTTACACGAGTAGCCGTGTGCCCCTACTTGGGCAAACTTTCCCAAATGACCTCTCTCCGGCCAGCTTATTAGAAATAAAGCTAAAAGCTAGAAAATGAGAGAGAGAGAGAGAGAACGAGAGAGAGTGAGAGAGAGAGAGAGAGAGAGAGAGAGATAGAGATAGAGAGAGAGAGAGTGCTAAAAGCACAAAAGCCTTTTCCAGCCGAAATCCTCGAAATCTTCCGCAGAGGCGAAGTTGATGGCGAAGCTGTGGATCAGGGAAAAGGTAGGTTTTATAGGAAAGTACACACGTCGCTTTGACTTATTTAGATATTAACCAAAAAATATTCGGCAAGCTAGCAGTGACAATTTTGGACCACAACGTTTTTAATACTGTTTTATTTTTAAGGCAAAATTTTATTTACTCAGAAATCAACTATTTCAATTATAAATTTTTGTACCTGGGAGCCGCGCACTAAAATTTTTACCAATATTTTTACGGTTTTCTACGTTTCTACTGGTAATTTGAGGGCACTACGGTTAAGAATGTGAAAGTTAAAGTAGTTTTAATTTTGGGGGAATTTTGAGGTTGGGGATTTCGTCACGCTTCTCTTGTCGAGACAACAGGCATATCACACATCTCTAGCTCTCACTCTCTCGCTCTCTCTCTCTCTCTCTCTCTCTCTCTCTTTCTCTTCCCCAAACCCCAACCCTCGGTTGAAAACTCAGTTTTTTTCTTCTATTTCGGGGTTGACTGCAGGGTGTTCTCCTTCTTTCTCCCCCCTCTTTTCCACTTTTCGGGAGATGGAGAGGCCAGGGCGGGCGAGCCGAATGTGTTGTCGTGCTGGAGCGGAGTCTCTCCCTTGCCTTCCCAATCCCTCATAGCACCCCCCACGAGGGTCCCGCCTGGACAGCACGATGGCCGAGTGGTTAAGGCGTTGGACTTAAGTTCCAATGGAGGTGACTCCGCGTGGGTTCGAACCCCACTCGTGCTAAACGTTTTGCTTTTTGAACGCCGGAAAGTCATTTAATGAAGCGAAGAGACGAAATTCGTTATAGACATGCTCATGCCCGAAATTTTTGGCAAACATTCGCATAGTGGCCGTAATTTGCTTAAACTTTTGGATTGAAAGCTATATGGCTTTACAAGCCTTATTTCGTGCCTTTTCATGCTAATTTTAAACGCATTTGGAACGATAAAGCCGTTTGCTACTGTATTTTTGCCGGACTTGCCTTCAAAGGCTGACAAAAAATTAGCATACCGGCATAATTAGCATAAAATTGGCAATGTTTCGAATTTCAGAGACAAATTTGATGAATTTGCGTATTTCGCTTAAAGTACGCGATAATACTTTGAACGTATTGTGTGGTACTTTTGTTTTTTCTTGTCAATGTTTTAAATGGTCAAGTACTTTCGAGAATCGACTTGCTGACCCCCTAAGCCGTTATGGTAATCCGGGAGGGGTGCAGGTGTGGGGTAAGAAGGCCCATATTTTGGGATAGAGAAGCCCGATAATCCGCACAAACAATTTATCCCCTACAAGGGCACCCAAGTAGGGGGGACGGTAATTGGGGGTGAAGTGGTTGCGCAAGGGCCAAGCATTAATCTTTCGATTTTCTTGCAGGAGCTAGCAGCGACCTGACGACGTCGGAGAGGGGCGGAAGTGAGGTGATGAGCAGGGAGAATGAGGTGAGGATAGAGAGAGCGAGAGAGAGAGAGAGCGAGAGTGAGAGAGAGCGAGAGAAAGAGAGTGAATGATGAAGAGTGAGCAAAAGTGAGCAAGAATGAGAGAGAGACTGTGAGAGAGCGAGGGAGGGAGAGGGGGAGAGAGAGAGAGGGAGAGAGAGGGCGAGAGAGAGGGAGAAAGAGAAAGGGAGAGAGAGCGAGACTATAACTACAATCCAAGCGTTAAATTGAACTTCCAGGACCCTCACGCCGATGACAGCCAAACTGACGACCAGTCAGATGAGCTGTCGATGACCCCGGTCGTCTCTGAGGTTTGTTCTAATCCTAAAGGGACACTGACAGCAGATTTGCAGTTATTTGCGCGATTTTTGAAAAAACGTAGAATTTTCAGCCAACGACGCCGTGCCCTCTAAATCTTCCCCAATTCCTCGTCCGTCCCCATATGCCATTTCCGTTCCCGCTAATCGCCAACCCGATGCTTCTTCGAATGCAACATCCGGGCGCTTTTCATGGGAGTGAGTTGATCTGTTTCTAGTTCTCTCTCTCTCTCTCTCTCTCTCTCTCTCTCTCTCTCTCTCTCTCTCTCTCTCTCTCTCGCTCTCCCCCCACTAAAATTCAAATTTCAGTGCCCGGGTTCCCGTTCTCGTTGATTCCATCAATGAACCCATTTTCCCCAGACGGCCATCAGACTACGCCGCTGGACTATCGACAGCGAAAGGATGAGGATTAACAAATATCATAAAAAAATCTGCCATCAGTTTAATGAGCTTTTCACTGCATTATTTTTCATGTTTATCGCAATATAATAAATCTGCTTTTAATAATAATTCATTTAAATTAATAGAAAAACGGAATCCAGAAGCCCATAAAAGTTTTTAAAATTCTTGAAAATGTCCGCATTTTTTTTAAAAACGGCCCCTCACGGCTTTTCCTCACGCGGCCCGGGTGACACTCAGTGGGGGAACGCTACCTTTTTTTGCATAATCCATCATTCAGCTGGGGTGGGGAGGCTTTTTGTGCTCCCGTTCGGGGCTGCGGGGGGAGATATTGGAACGAACGGAGGAGCCCCGCGTACCACCCAGACACCGGGCGACACCTGGGCGATGCACTAGGGATGCACTATTCCGGTCTGTGCCTCTGCTTCTGGGTGTTCTCTAGGTGGGTCTCCACCCGAAAGGGCATATTCTGATGAGGGCAACTACTGATTCATCTTGCCCTTCCCACCACCCGGTACGCCTGGGGGGCAATGGGCCTCAGGGGGTGTAAAGAGGAGTCGGACGGACCGCCTGCTAATTGATGGGCGAAGAGGGTACGGTAGGGAAGTGCAAGGAGGTCAGGGAGTACGGTAGTTTGCACTTACGCTTTTTGAAATCTGAGTGTAAAAAGGAGTCTGATGTGCCATATGCTATTTGATGGCGGAGCGGATACGGTAGAGAAGGGAAGGAGGCCAAAGGGTACGGTAACTGGTACTACTGGCATCTGTAGTGTCAACAGGTGCGAAACGGATCATATGCTAATCGACGGCTGGGGAGTACGGTGGTGAAGTGCAAGGAGGCCAAGGAATACGGTAGTTTGCAATTACGCATCTGGGTGTAAAGAGGAACGAAACGAACGAAATGGTAATCATCGCACAAAGGGGTACGGTAGCCAAGTGCAAGGAGGTCAAACGATACGCCAGTTTGCACTTACACCTTTTAACAGCTGGGATGTAATGAGGGTCCGAACGTACTATATGCTAGATGCAGGACGGGCAGGCTACGGTAGACAAGTACATCGAGGTCATCGAAGGTTACGGTAGTTTCCACTTTACGATTTTGCATCCATTGTGGTACGGAACGTACTATCCAATCTACGATTGGTAGCACGGTAGGAAAGTGCTAGGAGGTCAAGCATACGGTAGCTTGCACTTTACTCTAGCAATCTGGCGTGGAAAAGGTATTGGACGTACCATGTAATGTTTTAAAGGCACGCTAGGTAAGGGGTGTACGATAGCTTGCACCTTACATTTTTCTGTCAGATGAGGATGTTCCGAGGAGTGTCGCGGAATGACTACGGTAGCCAGAAATCCAGAATTTCATCGGGGAGGGGTTTTCGATGTCAATTGATTTCATGACGACTGTAAGCATGGATTCAACCGGATTTTTCAGTCCCTTTAAAGAGAACTGGATTTTTGCGGGCCGTAGTTCAATTCCACCTCTGACCCCCGTAAAAGTGCAAGAACAAGGGCAAGATGGCCCCCGGGGGCATTTGTGTATGCAAGATGAATCACTGCCCGTACCCTTCGGCTCTTCAATGCCTTCCCCCTGCCTTGTCGTGTGAGTCTGTACACCATTTATCATTGTCCTCACCTTGCACTTTTGCACACCATTCCCACAATTGCCCTCGGAGGGGTACGGTAGGCGGCATTGGCTTTTGGTAAGAAACAGCCGGCGAGACGAGCCAGGAGAGAGAGCGAGAGGGGGAGAGAGCGAGAGTGGGAGAGAGAGAGAGAGTCGCGAGTTTTTGTCAAAACGGCCTATATGGAAATGAGGCTAGGCTGGGGCGTAAAAATCGGACCGGTTCGAGCTAGGCGCATAGTAGCATGACGTACTTTGGAATCTTAAAAAAGCTTTAAACCGAAAATGCTTTAGAAAGTCCCCAGGAAGCCTAAAATCTAAACTCGAAAATCCTCGAAAAACCCATAAAGTGAGAAAAAACGGGCTTGCCAAAGGAATTTCCTTAAAACCGGGTTTTTACAGTGCGGTATTTTTGGAGCGCTTCTACCGTATCCATTGGCATGCCTTTACAGCCCCTTTAGTTCCATAAATCCTGCTGACACGCAACCCGTAAAAATTATATTTTGCCGAAAAGCAAGAATTTTTTTAATCCTCCGCTTGAGGCATAACGCCAAAATCTTTTTTGGGAAATTTTTAAGCAATTTAAAGCCTTGTTATCATTTTAACCTTTAAAAGCCCTTTCAACCCTGCCTGAACTGCTCCAACTTGACGTCCCTATGCCCCCTTCTTCCTAATTCGCAAATTTTCATGCGGCAAATCGCTTTCCCAAATCACCCTTTCCGCCAAAGGACATACACCATTTGCAAACGGCACCACCTGGCCTACTTCCCCCTCAGGCCTAAAGGGCACTTTTTATACCGTGGGCTTTTTTGGCTGGGTGCCTCTCACGGTGGCTACCCTCCTGGTCAGCACACAGATTTATGGGCAAGCGCGATGGCTTTCCCAGCTTTTTGCCTGGGGCACAAAAACTGGCAGTAAGGCATGGGGCCGGGGGTAAAAAAGATGACTGCTTTGCACTTTTGGAGGGGTACGGTAGTGGATCCCTGCAGGGCTTGGAGTTTGAATTTTTAAGTTGAAAAGCGTCAGAACTTAAGAAGCAAGAAACCGCTTTTCAACGGGGTCAATTAAAGGATTTTTAGGAAAAATAAAATTCTGCAATTTTGCGCTAATTTTTGGATTCCGGCCACGCTTGCGTGCCGTTACTAATTAACTTTTTAAGGAATACCTTTAGGTTACACGAAATCGGGCAAAAAAGAGTGTCAAAAGGCATATTTAAAAATGCTTTAAATCTACAGGATTAAAAATTCCCTTTAAAACATGAAATCCGTGGCGAAAACAGCCTTCGGACCGCCTTTAGAATCGCATTTCGTAAAAGGTCCGGGCAAGCACAGTAATATATTTACGCATTAAGAGTTGGTGTACACTTTTTTAAGTTCCAACGGCCAGTCTTAATTCCTACCGTAATCCCATCGCAGATTTTTATTTTTTTGGATTTTTGCCTAGAATGCCCGTTTAATTCTGCTGCCTCGATTTCGTAAACGATAAATTATCGCAGAATTTTTCATCTCAAGGCATGCCGGCTTGCCTGCAATTTTTTTACTTGACCTTTCGCTATCACCTCCCCATGCCACCCCCCGCAATTCTGGGATGCCCTTTTCGGTGTACGCCCTGGTACTGATTGCGATTTGCGGCGCAATTTTTTTGCCGGGGCCAAAGGTGTTTGTTAGGTGCCGGGAGGGAGTTAAAAACTTGTGATAGAAATTATGGTTACTGTACTTATTGTATCTTAATTAGGTCTATTACCGTATCCCTTGCTTTAGGGCGACAGTACGGTATTCTGAAGTGTAAATTTATCCTACAGAGCCCGTAAATATCGTAGTAAGGGGAAAACTGTACTTTTTCGTGGCAAGGCTACGGTATATCGCCAAACCCGCAAAAATAAAATTATACATTCTTCCGTATTAATTAAATCCGTACAAAATCCAAATTATCTCTGAACGGGAAGAATACTGTAGATTATAGGAAAAAACGCACTTATTCCAAAATACTCCAAAAATCCTCCAAAAGGCCTAAACCGTTGTATTTTAACAAGCGCGGAGTTACTGTAGGCTATCGTATACTTTCTTGCAAAAATTTACTTTGTCTTGGACCTTGAAAAAAAACGGATTTTTACAGTATCTTAGGCTTATTGTAGGGCCTACAGTAACCAGGAATTTAAAAGTTATCAAAATCCGTTGATTACGGTAGTATCTATCCAGAAAACCCAAAAAAACAGCCACTACCGTAATGCCAGACGTTAGGAGTAACTGCTTGTAGCCGTACCAAATGTAGTACTGTAATATATATTGTACCTCAATGCCGGAACTTTTTGACGCAACTACCGTATTTGTCGATTTTTCGGCATATGCCTAATCAAACGGTACGATAGGACTATCATAACCTCGTTTTCCGCCTGACCCCCAAGCGTAAATAGTATTGCCTCGTCCGCGGCACTACCCCCCCTAATCGAGAGTACGGATTAGTACTCCCCCCACCCAATCGGAGTCATGGCGTTCCAGCTTCCCCCTCCCAAAAAAGTCGCCCCGAAAAAGTTGCTCTTTTTTGGGGGGCAGGCTGCGGGTGTCGGGGGCTGGGGGGATAGGTGCACTTTGGATGGCACACAGCCCCCTCCAGCTCGGCCTCCTCCTCCGGATCCAACTAGAGGAGGGGAGAACCGTGTCAACCCCGGGGGGTCGAGACCGGCTCTTGGCTGTGGCTCGGGCTCACCCGCCCGGCTGATTAAGATCCCCCTCCATGGGCTGTCCACTACACAACACTCCTCTGGCCGGCACCACCGGCAACATAGCCGGATTGCCGGCAGAGGGGGATGTCATCGGGATTACCCGACCACTACACCCGGATTTTGGCACTACCGCGTACCAGTTGGGGGCTTTTACGTATGGGGATTTGGGGCGGACTTTGGGGTTACTGTACGAAAGTCTGAAGACAAAAGCCTGAACTTTGACACCTTGTTCGGCCGCCAAAGCTTAAGTCGAGAATTCCGAATTTTCCAGTTTTCTGCAACTAGGCACCTACCGTACTACCGCAACCTAATCGCCTATATTTCTCTTAATAATATTTTTTTAATAGTTAGCGAAGCCGGACGCAAAATTCTCGGGATTACCGTATTTCTTAGAGGTATCGAACCGTATCAGAAGCTGGATCGAGCTTGTTCTGACAAAAACTAATTGAATCGTCAGGCTAAAGTATGCCAAAAGGTGAGAGACGGAGATACAAAGCACCAGAGAGAGAGAGAGAGCGAGATAGAGCGAGATAGAGAGAGAGAGCGAGAAGAGCGTCGCTAGCACTACAACACCGGAATTTGCAATTTGCCCAGCCGATTGGTGTTTATTTCACAAACCAGGAAGTGAGCAACCCCCGCGCAACACAGATACCATGGAACCGTGCCAGC